AAAAAAAAAAAAAAAAAAAGAATTATAAAAATAAGGTGGTAAGTGTTTTGGCGACATTTCTTACCAGGGCAGCTCTCCCACTTCTACTGAGGACTCCGCTCCAGTCTGAAGCCAATCCTGGCACTAACACACAGTGCAGGTTCTACCCTAGAAGAGCTGCCCTTCAATCTAATTCATAATTCATTTGGAACCCTGGAGCCCACATGGGGTTCAACTTTAACTGAAGCTACACAATGAACACCATGCCAGACACCAAGCATGGGTGCCACTCCTGAAGCAGGCTTCGAGAGACCATCATCATCACTTCACTACTTGCTATCTTCTAGAACTTGGTGGACCTCAAGTTCCACATGTGCAGCTGAACAGCATAACCATTCAGTTAGCCATAGCCTCTGTGCATTGGTACAGCCTGGCTGCAGGCAGCAAAGCCTTCCTGTGCAGCAAACAGCTCACCCATGGAGCACAGGACCATTACATCTTCCCACTCCTCTTGCAGAGCCACTGCTGCAGCGCCGATCATCAGCTATGCAGTCACCAGCCTTGATGCCATGCCTGCCGACTGGAATTGCAGCTATGGGCTCCTGGCCAAAGGTGCTCCAAACTGCTTGCACACACTGAGGTGGTTTCAGGTGAGGATGAGTGAAGCCCCCAGGGAGCAGGAAACAATGCTGATCCACCCTGCATTCAGTCCTTTCATGGCAATGAGAAAGCCCTGTCCCTTGCTTCCAATTCTCTTGGCCACAGGAATAGCACAGTCTTCAAAGATTACAGCTCAGGTTGGCTATAGGTTCCACTCCATCTTTTTTTTCTTCTTGCAAAAGCTGAGGCCAGTGGTCCCTTTTTCAACAATGATGCATGAGACATCTTTGGAGCCTGGTCCTCTGGTTCTGCACATGACTACACAGATGTTTGATTCCACTCCCACTGATGAAGGCTTTGGAGCCATCGACAATCTCATTATCATTCAGCAGAGGTCAAAAGAGATGCAGTATCATTCTCACATCCTGGTTCAGTGAGGCAGATGGAGGCAAACTTCTCCACGGTACAGAGCCATGAGCAAAATATGCATGTCTGCTCTTCAGTTGCAAAGCTACCAGTCATTCAGGCACACACGTTGTGGATGCTTATGTAGGCTTTGGCCTACAGCCTGTAGCCACGGTTTAAAGATGACAGTCCAGACCTACCAACATATATTTGGAATGTACACTCCCCCAAAACCTAGCTGGGCTGCCTTTCGCATCTTTTCCACAGGGAAGAGTTCCATTGACGCAGAGGTCCCAGCGCTGATGGTGGGCCTGGGCATGGCCCATGGACTGCTGTGCAGGCAGCCAAGGTGAACTCGAGGTGCCCAAATCCACACCCTGCTTTTACACTGCTGGCCAGCAGGCCCCACAGCACAGGCCAGGACCTGTACCCGGATGCTCTGCCCCACAGTTAAAATACATTTCTGCTTGTTTGCTTGTTTGTTTTTGAGACAGGGTCTCACTATGTAGTTCAGGCTGGCCTCAAATTTGCAGCAATCCTCCTGCCTCAGCCTCTCAAATGCTGGGATTATAGGCATGTACCACCATGCCTAGTGTTAAAATATATTTTTAAAAAAACATATTCTTTATTAAATAATTTATTTTAAAACATAGCCAACCCTGTGAAAGTCACAAAAACAAAAAAAGGTTCAGACAACATCCATCTTGAGTAGCCTCAGGGAGGTACATCTAAATATCAACTGGGCCCTAGATGGCAGCACGGGACAGGAAAATGACATTTGGTAAAAGTTAATTTGAATGAAGTGTGAACTTTAGTAAATAATAATGCCTCACAATTGGCTCATTTGCTCTGACAAATATACTATAGCGATACAAGATGCTAAGAATAAGATAAACTGGGTATGAGGTATGTGAGTACTCTCCATAATCTTTGCAACTCTTCTACAAATATAAAACTACTCTAAAAGAAAAGCTTCATTAAAATGCTTATTTTTAGTACTGGGGATTGAACACAGGACCTCTACATTGAGCCAATCTCTAGACCTTTTATTGAGATAGGGTCTCACTAAGTCGCTGAGTTGCCAAAGCTGGTCTTGAAATTTTGATCCTCCTGCCTCAGCTACCCAGAATTCTGGGGTTACAGGTATGTATCTCCATGACCAGTTATTAGAAATTTGTTTCTGTGGTGATCTGATATTGAGACAGGGTCTCACTATACTGTTTAGGTTGGCCTTGAGTTCACTACGTAGCACAGGTTGGCCACAAACTCACGGTGATTCTTCTGCCTCAGCCTTCCAAGTACTGGAATTTGAGGTGCGCAGCACCATACTGGGTGCTAGAAATATCTTTGTGTGTGTGTGTGTGTGTGTGTGTGTGTGTGTATGTGTGTGTTCTGATACAAGGTTTCACTATGCAGTTCAGGATAGCCTTGAACTCACTTTGTAGCTCAGGCTGGCCTCAAACTCACAGCAATCCCCTGCCTCAGCCTCCTGAGTGCTGGGATTATGGGCGTGCACTGGTGCCACCAGACCCAGCTAGGAATATCTTAAAAGAAACTCAAAAAGCAAAAAATCTCCCCGAATTACTCCATATAACAAAGTGTTCACAAATCCCCAAATCATCAGTGAAACGTGTTTATTCCTGGGTGTGTGTCCATTCCTCGGGTAGCACAACCATTAGGGAAAATAACAGTGCTAAGGGGCCAGCAAAAGAGAGAAAGGGAAGCTATTTCATACATGCAGCCTATTTTAAAAGAACATTTGGCAACCACTTAGCAAAAGTAAGTCTGGAATAGTATCTTGCTAGACAGTAACGAAAATGTACCCTGAATACATTCCACATATTAACAAAACAGAAAAAGATAACCCTTCACTGCAAAAGTAAGGCCATGGGGATAACTTGCACCTAGGAATTCAGGGCCAGCCTAGGCAATTTGGTAAGACCCTAGTTCTTTTTTTTTTTTTTTTTTTTGAGACAGGGTCTTACTACATAGTTCAGACTAGCCTTGAACTCACTAGGTAGCTTAGGCTAGCCTCGAACTCACAGCGATCCACCTCTCTTAGCCTCCTGAGGGCTGCGATTACAGGTGTGCACCACCATGCCTGGCTAAAACCCTAGCTCTTAAAAAAGAAAAAAATGAATATACACACACACACATACACACACACACACATATATACATGTAATAAACCCCTCAGGATAAATCGATGAAACCAAAAGGCAAAACTGTATGTTCCGTTCATAGACCTCAACACGTACTCCTGGACAGGGAGCACAATTATTTTCCAAAGAGTTTTTAGTTAACTTCTTTTTTCACATTACAATGAAAGAACAAATGCTTGAGAAATTAAATAGATTTGAAAATCATTTGGGAACATACACTCCTCATTTAAAAGAAGATATTATTGATTATTATCAAAATACACACTGAGTATTTCTTATCCAAAATGACTGGGACCAAAAGTATTTTTAATTTCATGGGTTTTTTTACATTTTGAAATATTTCATTAGACTTTACTGGTTGGTCATCCTAGTCTGAAAGTCTATAATCTGTAATATCAGCACTCAAAAATTTTACATTTTGGATTGGGGATGCTCAACCTGTGTAGCATAAAGATATTCTTAAAATTGGAAGAAAATGTTTAGCTTACATTACACTCAAGTAACACAATGTTTAATACATCCTTCTATAAACTCCACCCGGAACATACCTGTTCTTTTTCTTTCAACAGCTGCTCAAAAGCAAGAGCCTTCTCTTTCATTGAATGGCATTCAAATTCTTTTTCTCGAAGCATCATAGAAAACTTCATGTTAGTCTCTTGTAATGCTTGGTATTCGGTTTCTTTTGCCCTGGATGCTTCTACTATTTTTTCATTTTCTGCTTTTAGTTTAGCAATTTCCATTTCTAAAATTAATACTCTCTCCTTCAAGTTTGTTACTGCCTGCCTCAAAAGCTCATTTTCATTCACTTTGTTGGTGAAATTTTCATTTGAAGAAAGTAATTGATCACTTTTGGCTTTGATTAAGAGATCTTTTTCCTTAAGTAAGTTCTGTAAAACCTCTTGTTTCTCTTTTAGCTGCTTAACTTCCGAATCAGCTTGTTTGTATTCTTTCCTTTCTTGTTCTGAGGTAGCTACAAGTGAATCAGACAATCTGTGATTATTTTCCTGGAGAGTTCTAATTGTTGCATCTTTTTCTTGCACTGATTTTCTTAGCTTTTCTATCTCTAGTTGAAGCGACTGAGAAGAATCACTTGATAGAGCAGATGTATTTGCTCTAGGTAAGCCAGAAGAGAGATGGGGTGAAATGCTATCAAGCTTTCCTAGAAGAAGATCCTTTGTATTGCAGAGCTGACCTATGTTGTACTGAACTTGTGCTAATTCCTGCCCAAAATTTTTGAGCTTGGTTTCATTCTGCTCGTAACTTTGGATCAGGCCAGTGTAGTCAACCTGTAACTTAGAGTTATTATCACTGTCAATCAAAACTTGTGCCTGAAGCTGGTGAAGTTCTTCTTGAAGTTGGGCTGACTCGTGCTGCATATTTTGTACTGTGGTCATCACCTGCTGTTTCCATTCTTCCATTTTCTTCACTTGCTGTTTTAATTTATCGCGTTCCTGCAGGAGTTCCTCAAACTGGTTACTATTAACACCTCCCTCGTTACCGGTGCTGGAAGTCTGTAAAACTGCCAATAAAGTCTGACATTTCTGACTTAGTGCATCTATTTCAATGTCTTTTTCTCGAATGATACGAGATAAATTTTGAACAGTTTCTCTAAACATATCTTGGCCGCTGCTTTCGAATCTCATGGACAATTTCTTATTTTCATCTTGTAACTTAATGAGGGCTGCTTCTTTAGCAGCAATAATGTCTATCATTTTGTGATACTCAGTTTTTAGATGGCTGTTTTCCCTTGTCTTCTCATCTAAAACAGCGAACAGCTTTCCTTTTTCCACATCGTAGGCCTGTAGCTGCTGCTGAAGGTAAACAACATCCTGGCTGTAGGAAGCTGAAGAAATTCTAGCATGAAGAGCTTGTATCTCCAAGTCTTTCTGTTGGATAATCTGAGTGAGTTTACCAACCTCATCTTTGGACAGCTGATCAATCTGTTTAGTTAGAGATATATTCTTCTCATTTAGAAGTTTAATCTCCAGCTCTCGTTCCTTTATTCCTTTCACTAATCTCTCAGTTTCAGCTTTAGATAAGTCATGCTTTTCACCTCCATTTTCTATGTTAAGACTCTGAACTTTGGTATCCTGAAAAATATCAGAATTCTCTGTTTGAATATCCTGTCTTTCTTCATGCAACTGGGATTTTATTTGTTCAATTGTTTTTTGTAAATTCTTAATTTCTTCGTCTTTCTCTAAAAAAAGCTGGGTATGTGCGACGTTCATCTGCTCATGTTGGTATTTAAACTCATCCATTTCTTTCTTCTGCTCCTGCAGAGACTGAAGTAGTTGCACCTTACTCTGGTTTTGATCTTCAATTATCTTTAGATGATGTTTAATTTCCTCTTCCAGATGGTCTTTGATTACGTTTAGCTGAGACACCTCACATTCTAGTTCGGTGACGCTCTCGAGGGTTTTAGGCCCCGCCACAGGCAAAGCGCGACTCTGCTGCTCCTTGAGTCGCTCCAGTTCTTCTTGCAGATGATTATTTTCTTCTTTCATAGATCCAAGACTTCTATCCTTTTCCTCTATGGTGTGCCTTAAAATTTCATTTTTTCTTAAAGCTTGAGAACATTTATCTAATTCTTCCTGCAGTTTTGAACTCTCTTCTTTCAGTTTAGCAATAAAGGTATCTTTCTCATTTATAGCTTGTGTCAGCTGTTTCTGCTTTTCTAAACTAGATGACAGAACTTCCTTATTTTCCTTATGCTCACTAGCCATTTGCTCAATATTCTTTTTAAGTCCTGCTATTTCAAAGTCTTTCTCTTGATTGAGTTTAAGTAAACGTTCATGTTCCGACTGTAAGGCAGAGGTACTTGCACTTGACAGCTCCTCAACCGTTTGCTTATGCTTGTTTGCTTCTTCCAAAAAACTCCTTTCCACTCCTATCTGTCCCTTATCCCTTCTTAGAATCTCTCCAACAGTGCTTCTTTCCTGAGAAATTTGTTTATTACCAGCAATAGAGTCTTGCAACTGACACCTGACATCTTCACACTCCAAAATCAACTTTTCATTTTCCACTTTAAGGTCAAAAACAACTTTATTTAAATTTTCATTGAGCTGCTTTATTTCTAAAAGATTCTGATTTAAGTTTCTAACTTCATCTTCCCTTTCTTTAAGTAAGTCATCTTTGAAATGACGGTCAGAGGCTTGACTAAGAGACCGAGTTAACTCACTCCTGACTCTAGACAGTTCCTCTTCATTTTGTCTTATATGTTCCTTGAGTTGACAGTTCTCCTTCTGGATATTTAAATTATTTTTCTGTGTTTTGCTTAGTTGATCTACTAAATCTGCTAGTTCACCTTCAAGCTTTTTCTTGGTTAAATGCAAATCACTTAGAACTAGTTCATTTTGAGTTAACTTTTCTCTCTGCAGGTCTAACTCTTGAATGACGCTCATTTTGTCATCTTCTAGCTGGTGGGCTCTCTTTACTTCATCATCTAGCTCTTGTTTCAGTTTCTGTATGATGCTGTCTCCTTCGCTTTGTTGTTTTGACAGCTGATCTTTTATCAAAATCACGTGCTGAAAGAAAAATTCATTTGCATGGTCATTTTGCAACATTTTTTTCATTTTAGTGCTGAAAAACAATTTTGCAAATTTCATTCATAAGACTAATCCTCAGATATTTCTAATCCTCTTTAAAAATAACTTTCTATTGCAACATTACAAAATTATTTATAAGCATAGCAAGTCCATCTAATCATTTTAGGAAGAGTTTAAAACCACAGAAAGTAAATAATAGATGTTATATAATTTCAACTCTTAGGCCAGGCATGGTGGTGCATGCCTGTAATCCCAGCACTCAGGAGGTTGGGCCAGGAGAATTGTTGCAAGTTCCAGACCAGCCTGGGCTACAAAGTGAGCTCAAGGCCAGCCTGAAGTGCACAGTGAGATGCTGTCTCAAAAAAAAAGACAAAAACAAACAAAAAACCCTAAGTAATTTCAACTCAAACACTACAGCAGGAGTTAACAAACTAAAGGCTGTGGCCCAAAGCAGGTCCACTGTCTAATTCTGTAAATACAACTGTACTGAAACAGAGCCAGACTCATTTGTCTACACTGCACAGCTGTAGGGTTGCCTAGCTGCAACTGATGATGTGGCCTGCAGAGGCAAAAATATTATACTATCTAGCACAGAGTGTGTTCATCTCTCTGACTAGAACATCAATGAACAAAAATACTAATGAAATCACACAATTAAATTACATATAAATTTCTACATATTAATCACTATATCGTCCACCGGCTACACTGTGCAGCCTTATCCTGGTCTTTAACGTGGTGTTACCTTTGTAGCCTCTTGGTTCTGTTTGTCTAATTCTTCTAACTCAGCTATCAGCATTTCCTTTTCACTGACACTCTCATTCAGTTCCTGTTCCTTCGCCTCCAACATCAGTCGTAAGTCATGTAATTCTGAATCCAAGTTCATGTCCTTCACAGCTGTACTTTTAATTACTTCATATTCATTGCTCAGTTTTGAGAGGGATATCTGAAGCTCTTCCTTAAATGATCAAGGAAGACAAAGAAACATCTATTGTCAACTGAAGAGACATCAGAAGATTAAACATACACCAACAAATGAAGCTTGGGTGTCCTCTTTAAATGCTCTGTATTGGAAACATTGCACAATACCAAAGCAATGGTATATATGAAAATACAGCAAACCACAGCCTTCATTCATGTTCACTTGTACTTGCAGCTCCCAGTGAAAACATTTCTGTGACTCAAAACGAGGTGTAACACCTGTCTGCTTACCTTCTAGCTCCAACTTCTTCATGCAAGACTTTCCCGAGCATGTCCTATCTGATCACACTGCCGCTCGCCCTCTCCCGCCCTCACCACACAGACTTCTCTGGAGGCTCCAGTCTCCAGTTTTCATCACTTCCACTCTCTAACATCCAACAACCAATGGCAACAGTTTAAATAAAAATGAAAAATCAATACTCATTCACTCAAGTTTATCTTCTCTAATTAGCAAATAAGAGGCTTTTTCTTCACTAAAGAAATTTACATTACTTGCTTCATCAGAACATGAAAATTTCTCTTGATGTGAGAAAGTGCCTTCCACCTTCCTTTTCCTTCTAACTGCACAGACTAGGTTTCCCTCTCTCAGAGCTGACATTCCTACAGGGATCTGTACACACAGTTGAGAGTCTATTAGGAGGTGTTTATATTTAATGTTTCTCTCCAAATTCCCAGAAATCGAACAGTTCTGAGTTTTAACATTACTTTAACATCTGATTATGTTTGTGATAAAGTATGTATCACTGTAAAGCCTACTTTCATTGATAAAGTTTTTTTAAGAGTAGGAAGAATTTATTGAGAAAAAGCTTCTAACAGGGACAGAAGGGGTCTCAGAAAGTGAGTTGCTCTTATAAAGATTTTTAAAAATCAAACTTATGTGATCTACTTTAAGATTCTCAAATTCCTTCAAATAACCTAATCCCTTATAAAAAAAAGATCAAGAAAAACTGTACTAGAACATCTGCATCAACATTCTCGTTTAATTCACCTCAAAAGTTTATTCAGAGATAGATTTGCAACATAGAGATAACACTCTCTAAAGTTATCAGTTCATTAAGGGAACCACAAAGGTTTTTCTTAGGAGGCTCTTTAAAGTACATATACTTTTGGCATTCTTAAGCAATAAGCAGGCCTATGGCAAACGCAATTCAGCAAAGAGTTATAGAGGTCTAATAATAAACATCAAAAGACAGGAGAACCAGCTATCAGGAATAGCTACAGAACCCAAAAATAACAAGGAAGGAGGGAAGGAGAAAGCTAAAAGAAACAAAATGCAGTAAGCATATGTGTCAATTCCCCATGATGAATTTATTTACTATGTATCACAAACACATTAACAAAAAAAGAAAAAAAAAAAAGGAATTGAAAAATATCCTGGAGCCAGGAGTAGTGGCGCAGGCCTGTAATCCTAGCAATCAGGAGGCTGAGGCAGGAGGATTGCTGCAAGTTCAAGGCCAGCCAGGGCTACAAAGTGAGTTCAAGACTAGCCTGAACTACATAGTGAAACTGTCTCAAAAAGACAAAAAACAACCAAAAAAAAAAAAAAAAAAATCATGGAAAGCTTGCATGACCCAGCTGATATATACAGAAAGTTCTACAATGAGAACAGAATCTGAAGATATATATATATATATATAAATGACTGGGAAACACTACTAGCCTTTAGTGGACAAAAACAGTGGTGTCAAGTACCCCAGAAGTATAGGACACTACATAAAACTTAAGAATTTTGTCACTTAAATGCTGTCTACATATCAATATGCAAAGACGTTGAAAATAAAATGTTAGGGTACATAAGAGTAATATGTTCAGATATTGACATTTTTATTTCTTTAAAGCAATATATAGGTGCAATCATAATGTGCACTCATATAGTCCAGAAAGACATACTAGAAATTGATAAGAGACTACTATCTCAGGAAAAGAGATCAAGCAACCAAGGGTCGACAGATACTCTACCTATACCATTCTCCATTATCCTAGAGATATTACAAATATACTTATCAGTAAATATGTATTACTATACAAAAATCAAGAGTTAAATTAAGTTGCAACAATGACCTTTAACTTAATATCAGCTTTTAATTGTCCTACATTTAAGTACCTGTCCTAGACAAATTACCCCAGACTGACACTACTGTAGAACCCTATTCCACCCCTTGCTGCCAACACACACACACACACACACACACACACACACACACACAAACTCCATTCCTACCACTATCCATCCACCTTTATCCCTCACCACTAAGAAATTGCTGTCTACCATGACAGATATACTCTGGGGCATGAGAGCATCTACACCCCAGACCTCCAGACCCACCTGTGGATGCTGCTACATACAGGACTTCACAGGAACTAAAACAGGCCCTTTAGCTATCTTTTCTACTCATAGCAAAGCTATGTGCTTCGTGGCTTATCTGTACACATATACTCTGGCCAGCCTCTCATACTCTGAACTTTGCCCGACAAGTGTCAATGAGGTCAGCTTTATTCTTGGGGCTCTCTAACTACATTTTCCATTTTGATATAAACTGGTCCTTAGCTGTGAACTATAATACAAATCCCATTTTAATTCTTCCCCCAATTGTATAGCACCCACCTTTTCTTGACTCAACGATGACTTTTCTGTTTCCAAGACTTCAACACGCATTCTAAGTTTTACATTGTCTTCAGCAAGATTGTTATCCTGCAAAAATGTTAAAGCAGCATTTTCAGATAAGAAATTTCCAACTGAAAAAACAGCAGGCTAGCTATACAACTGGGCACTTCTACTCAGTATTTCTTCAGTGATACATAAAAATTAGAAGAGCATCACATTGGACCATCTAGACCCAGGCACTCATTTGAGACACACTTACAGAAGATCACCTCATTTGAAAAACTATAAAAATATACTTACAAAATAACTAGTAATTGCCAGAAAAAAAAAGCAAACCCCTGAATTCTTTAAAGAAGATAAAAACACATTCATTTTGGTAGGGGATGTATTTCTGTTGCCCCTACACATGTAAGATTTGTTAAACTAATCTCAAGAAGATATACATTTTTTTAATTATGCAACTTTTTAACATATGTTGATTTATGGTGCAAAAAGAACTTATAGTTGTTAATAATCAACAAATAAAATTACTAAAATGAAAGTTCTTAGGGTAAGTTCGCATGGATTTTTAAAGAAAAAACAAAAAATAAATAACTATAGTAAATCAAAATTCACTTTCCTAGTTAACCAATGCCAGAACCTTTCTTTTATGACATGAGTTTACCTGGTTCAAACTACTCTGTTTCATTATTTCATTTTCAGCACCTGTAAAAACAGTAGATGAACCGACATTAAAATTATTTAGAACATTTTAATAACTATGCGCCACTTAAGTGCAACCCCATTGAAATCAAGTATATTTATAAGCACAATTGGCAAGAATCAGTAGTTTTAAGAGAAACATATTTTGTCATTTTGTATGTCTAGTTTCAAAGAAATCATAACACAAATGTCAGTTAAAAACCATGTTAAAATCCAACTCTGTGGAAGGTTGAGAACAAATTATAACTGTATTCTAGATGAGTAAAATTATTGCCTTAATGAAAATACAACTATGTTTCAAGATGAGTTCATCAGTTTGGATGGCTGGAAGTACTATAAAGTCTAAGATTCGACAGGAAAACAAAACTAAAAAAGCAATGCTTGTATATTTATTCCACAATGACATAATAACCTCTCAATTAGCTAACGTGATTTAGATATTAATCCATTACATATAGATCCACAAAGAGAAGGGGTTCCAGAAAAGGAACACAGAGGCAGGATAAGCTTAGCTGAAGTAATTCATTTCACATTCACTCAGGAAACAGTGACCATTTACAATGAGGCCAGGCCTAAACAATAAAGAAAAAAACTTACATAAAAAACTGGCTGCCAAAGAGCTTACAACTCAGAAAGGAAGTAGAACAGGTAAAGATGTTAATACAGCGCAGTACAGCAAACACAAGGTGCCATGAGAGCAGAAAGGGCAAGCATCGAGTCCAGACTGGTGGCAGCAAATGAGGCAGAGAAATGGCAGTGCAGGGATCTTCCAGTGAAGGTAATACTGCTCCTGCACTAAATCAGTACACCAGCTAAAAGAAACATAGGGACGCTCCACACAGAGAAGGTTGCAAATACAAAAGGGACAGAGCTAAGAGACAGCAATTTCCTGACTGAGCTGAATTCCAGGCCAGTTTTGTTCTTAATCACTGTCCTATTCTCTGTTATGAGATCTGCCACAGCAAACAAAGGAAAGGCGCAATACTGAAGGAATTCTGTGGCAATGGAAATGGAAAAGAGGGAAAGGACTAGAGCAATAGTTCCTTTTAAGCAGATAAACTTAAGGAACCACCTGATACATAAATTTATTTTATAAAAGAGCAGAGCTACTAAAACTTAAGCAAAATGAGAACGATGTCCAGAACCCACTGCACTGCCTTCCCTGGGCCTCCATGGCAGCTCTGGGACTGCGGCACCTGTGAGAAAGCCTGGAGCTCCCCCAGGATGCCATCCTGAACCATCACGCAAGGAGGGAGAAGCAACTTGCTCTGTGACAACTCTGGTAGTCTGCTTTGCGAGACTACTAAATGCTACTAGACTGGGAAAGGAGGAGAGAGGAAGATGATTTTATTTTGACATTTAGTTTGAAAATCCATGTGATTAGTAGAGAGTTGGCCAACCAGACCAGACGCTCATGGTAAAGAATTGGATAGGAGATAAAGCTGTGGGAGGATCCCAAGTACACAAAGTTCCCAAACAGGATGAACAAGTTCGTGAAGGTTAGAATTTATACCGTGAGAAGAGGACACAGTGCAAAACAAAATGCACCTTTTCAGCCAAACAGCTTCTATTATGTTTTCCTGGTGTGACTGAATAGTGGAGTTTTATCTACTTCATTCAATACTTATTTTTTAGGCCAGGAATATAGCTCAGCGGCACACCTGCCTGGCAAGTGTGAGGTCGTGAGTCCAATTCCCAATACCAAAAAAAAAAAAAAAACCCTCATATTTTATACCACAAAATACTGGTATAATAACAAAGTATCATCTTGAACATGGAAAATGGTAGAAGACCTATGGTAGTTATCACTTAGGCCTTTGCTTTGATACAGGTAATTATTTCAAAAGGTAACCAATCCACTTCTAAAGATGAAATGCTTGGCTAGGCGTGGTGGCACATGCCTATAATCTCTGCACTTTGGAGGCTAAGGCAGGAGGGTCATTGCAAATTCGAGACCAGCCTGGGCTACAAAGTGAGCTCAAGACCAACCTGAACTGCATAGCAAAACCCTGTCTCAAAAAGACCAAAAAAATAAATAAAAATAAAGATAAAATGCTGCATTCCCTACTGGGAGAGGCTGGGCCCTGATGAGTTACAAAAAGTATTCAGTTCCATACAGAGTAAAAGAAGCAGACCCATACTTCCCCATAACAATGTCTATGAAAATACGCATTTCCCAGAAATCTACATGGTTTCTTTTCATTTATTTCTGGACACAGGGTCTCACTATGTAGTTCAAGCTGGCCTTGAATTTACTATGTAGCCAATGCTGGCCTCAAACTCACTGCAAATTCCTGCCTCAGCCTCTTGAGTGTCTAAATCTACACTGTCTCCATATAAATACCTAAAGAATAAAGAAGGATGTATTAGGTGTAGTACTTAATTCTCTTTAGTAGAAAATTTGATTTGTGATCTGTTAACTATGCACTGCATCCAAACCAAACAATACTAATCAAATTACACAGTCATTTCTGCAAATACTCCATTTTCATGAAGTATTCAACAATTCAATTGTGTATCTCTTAAAACAACTCAATGAAATACCAGTCTGAAAAAAGTTCCAAATATTTTATACCAGACAGTACTTGTTGCGGGCTAAACACTTCTTCCCGGGAGGAACTCTGTGGAAGGGCTCTTTCCTTTTCTGTCACAGTCTCACTGTGTTTCATAGCATGAGTCTTCAATTCCAGTTTCAGGCTTTCACACTGTTCAGTTATTTGTCTCTTTTCCATATTTAGCTGTTCCTGTTCTCTCCTCAAAATGTCTCTGTCATTTTCAGCAGAAGATAATTTTTTATTTATGTCTTTTATTTTATTCTCAAGTTCTTGAATTTTTTTTGTAGATTCCACTTTTTCAGTCTGTAGACCCTGAATGGTTTTCTGCATTTCATACAGCTTAGAGTTATCAGTTACTGTAACTCCTGAGCCACCTGGAAAAAAAACAACATGAAGGATGTCAAATATTAAGTACCAAGAACTAAATATCTTCCTATATACAACTACCAGATTAAATTAAGTTAAACTGTTATAATGAACTAAGCATTTTTTTAACAGTAGCAAAGTTTTATTAAAGGTAGGAAAAGAAACAGGCTCTGCAGAGTGAGTTTGGGCCAAGTAACAGGAGGAAAAGGAGTACACCCTAGGGTGTGAGGGCGGGCTGCCGTGCAAGAGACAGCACAGTGGCCCGAGCACTTTTAAAGAAATAAAAAGTTGAAGAAATATTGAATCAAGTAGCAAAAAGCCTATGTATCTAAGTGGGAAAGTACAAACATCTCTAATCACTTATTATCAAAGTATCATCACCAAACAATGCAAACTCTTATGTGAACTGGAACTGTTTACCACAGAAGCAAAATTTCCTCACTGGAAATTTCTGGCGAATGAGCAAAATTAGTCGTTCCTTCATTACTTAGAACTTAGTCTACATTTACACGAGTGTTCTGGTCTTAGAGTGATAAATTTACCATTTAATTACATCACCAAATATGTGAAATTAAGAAAACCAATAACCTTGCTGTAATAGATTTTCAAGTTCTTCAATTCGTTCTTCGTAGCTGCTTAATTCCTCTCGGTGTCGGTGACATATGTCTGTCAGTTTTTGTTGATGTGCATTCTGTAACACTGACATTTCATGTTGGTGGTCATCAATTTCCTGGCTTCGGTTCTGTTTCAGTTCCTGAAAAATTAAGAACAAAGTTAACCACATGTATGATCAACAAATTTATGTAAGCTACTTATTTCACCAAAACCTTAACATTATTAAAATTAATTCTCTAAAAAGAATTTAAATACAGTTCCCAAATTAGGACAATTCTGAAAAAATCCACTCCTTTCTTATATCTCAAAAACAGTTTTCCTAGCCAGCATTGGTGTTGCATGACTATAATCCCAGCACTGTGCAATGCTGAGGAAGAAGGATCACGAATTCAAGCCCAGTCTAGGCAATTTAACGACTTAGTAAGACCCTAACTCAAAATAATGAAACGGTTGGGCTGGGGATTCAGCTCAGCAGCACAGTGCCTGCCTTGCAAACATGAGGTCCTGAGTTTCATTCCTGGTACAAAAAAAAAATTCCATCAAATGAAAGGGTTAGTAGCTCATTATGTAGTTCAGTATTAAGACTCTGAATTCAACCTCCAGTACCCTCCCCCCCCACACACATTTTTCTACTTTAAATGAGCGAGCATTGACAAGAAAACACTGTAACAAAGTTGAGCCAAAGTATCTTTTCCTTGGTCTCTATGACCACGCCCTGGTCCTATTCCTAAAACACATTTCGGCAATATCAGGGGGCAGTCTGTACCTGTTGTGTGACTACCACTATTCTCTTAGGCAGCCCTTCCTTTTGTCAGTCTCAGTGGAGCTCCCAGCCTGTGGACCACAATGCCTTGCTACCAAATTGAGATGACCCACGTCTCTCTGGATCTTGAAGGGAAACATGATGAAAACTGCATCCTCCTAAGTCTGTTCACAGTGCCCTGTAGATTCCTCACCCTGTCACATGCCTACGCTTCCTGACACCAGAATGCTTAATTCTTTCCTCAGTCCTATAGTCAGACCACCTAGTCCTTCATGAAAAATGCCTCTGCTTTACTTAGCAGGAGATGGTTTTTGTTGCTTGTAACTAAGAATTACAATTGATGACTTATTTGTTATTTTCTAAGATGACAAGTCAATTATTTAATACTATGCACTAATGTGCGAGCACTGAGGTAAGAGTTCAAAATAATCCTACAAGGTAGCTGTTACGATGTTTACTTGTTTGTTTTGTTTTGGTTTGGCTTTTGGTACTGGGAATCAAACTCGGGACCTTGTGCTTGCTAGGCAGGCGCCTGTGTCACTGAGCTATCTCTCCAGCCTTCTGATGTTTACTTGTGAAACAGAAAATGGGAGAGGGTAAGTAACTTGCCCAAAGTAGCACAGCAGCTTACACTATAGCCAGGATTAAACCAAGATCTGACTGGGGAACTTACACACATTAGTATTATAATAATAGTAAATCAAAAACTAAAGCTAATAATGATATATCTGACCATAATTTCAATACTGAAAACTACTCACTGCCATGATAAATATATGGAACTAAGATTCTTCTTAAAAGAAATAATTGACAGAAACTAGCATAATTCTACGACTAAGGTAAAACAGTTACTATAGTGAATATTTGTATTTTATCAATATCCTTTAACCCTAACACTTGAAACAACAATTCTTTGGAATTCTTTTTTTAATAAAGGTAGTTTTATAAGCTACAATGGAGACATATAAAATGTCTTCAAAATGATTTTCGAGAGATATTTTAGTTGATTGATTTACTTTAAATTTTTACAGTACTGGGGAGTACTCTAGCACTGACCTATATCCCCAGACTATTTTATTTTGAGGTAGGCTCTTACTAAGTTGGCCAGGCTGGCCTCCAACTTGCAATCCTTCTGTGTCAGCATCCCAAACAACTGAGATCATAGGCATGGGACACTCAGCAAAATATTTTTATGTATCTTGGGGCTGGGGATTTAGCTCAGCAGCACAGCACCTGCCTGGCAAGCGCAAGGTTGTGAGTTCGATTCCCGGTACCAGAAAACAAACAAACAAAAAAATATATATATATATTTTTTTATGTGTCTTATTTCTCATAAGGAATAATTATGATTCAAAATAGTTAAAAACTGAATATCATAATGCATATAATCTTTCACAACTGAAAGTATTACTAATTTAGGTCTATACTTTTAATATACAGACGTTTAGATGCATAGCTACCACTGGCAATCAAAATCTGACTTACCTTAATAATATTTTGCAGTTTGCAGATTTCACTTTGATCAGAGCTGTATGTCCCTTGTGTCTTACAGGTCAGAAAAGAAAGAATTAGAAAACAATTGTACCAATCTTCCTGTTAAACAAAAACTTACAAACTTATTAAAAGCTACTTCTCAATAATGGGATATTTCTCAGACAGATTCTCATTAAAGAACACCAAGCACTTTTTAAAGAAACCTAGTCCATTGGAGAGTAACACACAATAAAAAAGATGCTCTCTTTGAGAATTTGCTAATTGGAGAAACAACAGTTTTATAAAATAAAGATAGAAAAAAAGGAACATTTTACTTATATTAACAAAGTGTAAACAGGGCAACAAGCAGCTTTCTGAAAGAAAATTACAACAGGTTATCCAATGTTAATGCTGAAAAACTGTTTTTGAAATTATTTTGAAAAGGTCTGTATCTCTACCTTAAAATAGAATAATCTTTGGTTTGACAAAAAAATAAAAGGAAGGGGCTGGGGATTTAGCTCAGTGGCACAGCACCTGCCTGGCAAGTGGAAGGTCATGAGTTCAGCTCCCGTAACTGGGGGAAAAAAAAAAAAAAAACGAAAATAAAAGGAATTTGGATTCTTTTCTTCTCATTCAAAGCTGTATGTTGCGTGCATTTATCTTTTTAAAAACATTTTAACTGACACCTAGTAACTATATATTGAGGGGATAATTAACATTATCATCTCAAACATTTATCATTTCTTTGTGGTAAGAACATTCGAAGCCTTTCTTCTAGCTATTTGAAGTATACATCATTATCAGTGGTTACCTTATTGTACAAAAGAAGACCAGAACTTATTTCCCATCTAACTATAACTTTTTATTTCCCATCTAACTATAACTGACCAAACTCTGCCCACCCTCCCTCCCCACTACCCACCGAATCTGCTAATAAGCACTCATTTAACTTTATTAACATTTACTAGATAATATATTAATGAGCCAAAAGCTAGATAACATGTTAATGAGCTAATAAGCTGAAAGACAGGGCTGGGGATTTAGCTCAGTGGCAAAAGCGCCTGCCTGGCAAGCGCAAGGTCGTGAGTTCGGTTCCCGGTACCGGAGAAAAACCAAAAAAAAAAAAAACCAAAAAAAAAAAAAAGCTGAAAGACAAAGCATAGTGCAATGGAAAGAACACAAGATTTGGAGTCAAAAGATGTGTATTTGACTCATAACTTTAATCACCGGGACAATGAGTAAATTATTCTTAGCAATAACTTTCAATTTCCTTATCTGTAAAATAGAGATAATAAATACATCACATAGGTATTAAGAATAATATAGATATGCATCTTACATAGTATAATATAAATATTAATTTTCATTATGACTGGCTAGGAAATTAAGCCCCCTAAAAAGTCCCAAATATGCTTTTTTCACCTTTAAATTATAATACAGGTCGGTCAAATACTAGGCATTCAAGATGTGCTAAAGTGAACATACAAAAATCCCATTTCTTCCCTGTAAACTTTTACCCTAAGTAATGTTTCTTAAAATATGTGACTCAGATGATCAGATCACCTGCGAGTATTTATTTGTTTGAACACAATTTCTAAGGCTCTAAAATAGACTCCAAAATCAAAATCTCTGAAGGCTGGACATGAAAAGTACAATATTATCAAGTTCTCCAGGTCACTCTTCCAATGAAGTGTAAGAATCAAAGCTTTTTGGTAACAAACTGGATAGATGCCCTCTGTTTATTTTGGACATTAGGAATGTCTAATAATGTGGGAAACAAGCAGGTAATTTGAATTGATAAGATTTGTCCTTTTCATAAAATACATTCACAAAAAGATAGAAAATATCCTTACTTCTATACTATTTTTCTTTCTTGTACTGATGAAGTGAAAGCCAAACAAACAATGTACCAGTTTATTCTAAGTCTCATGCCTACTAGCCAATTCCAGAATACTGCATATACAATCTAATATGTATGAGTAAAAGTGTTTCTTGGAAGAAAGTTTAAAGACCAAAATATGAAGCATTTAATTTCTAATGCACAAACCAACACAAAGTAGTTTAACATATTTGTTAACATCAATCACCAGATTTTCACTTTCTATATCACTAGAGCTAACAAAAATCAGACAGACCGCAAGGAAGCCAAGTCACACACAGTTCCTTGGAGCCCTGGTGTCCCCACCACAGAAGCCTCAGAGTTTCCAGGGGAAGAGGTGATGGCTCACAAATAGCTTGGTTGCTTTAAATGTTTTTTAAAAATTTTCTCAAATATTGTACAGAAAAGAACACTGAAACTGAGAGAAAGACAAATCAAAATCACTCAGCCACTGGCTGAATTACAAGTGCAATACAGGGTTTCTATTTCCCAGCCCAGGAGCATTTCTGATACCAAACGCTCTACATACAGCCTCCTGGACAGCACCACTCTTTTTACTTACTCCAGGTTTTTAAAACTCATCCAAATTTACCTACCTGGGCAATGCGCCTCCAATGGCCAATCTCAGATTCAAGTCTTGAGACTTCACTGGACAATCTGTTTATTTCCTGTTGTGAGGAGAGCAGGTCTCCAAAGTCCATGTCATCATCGTAAGCAGCTGAAGCACCATGAGGGATCGCATAGCTGAGTGAAGCTGATGCAGTGGGTGCCGGTGCACTGCCAGCCCCCGCGGGCACTGCATGAGCAGCCGGCTGCAGCTTCAGCAGCTCATCCTGGAGTGCGCTCTGTCTTGCTTTGAGATGGCTGATTTCTACCTATATATTTATCATCCACATTTCAGAGAAGGTACTTTGTAAAAAATATACTGACCTTTTTATAGATTCCTAATATTGAATAGTATAACAATTCATCTAAGATTATCCAACAACAATACACTACTAAGTTAATTCATATCATTTTTAACATCCTAACTTTAAGATCCTTTTAAAAAATACCATCATTAAAACACAAATGTTCCAAACAGTATAAAGGGCAAGGTTTCACTTATAAGTTAACTAAAGCTATGAACTTCTCAAATTGGCTTTGCTCCTATAGGTCAAAAGGCAAGGTGGAGAAAACCATGAATTACTGGGCTCCAAAACTGCAGGAACAGAAAAACCACCCATTCAAAAATACAGAGAATTTGTTTTTTTCTGTTTCTGAATCTTTTTTCCTTTCTTTCTTTCTTTCTTTCTTTCTTTCTTTCTTTCTTTCTTTCTCTCTCTCTCTCCCTCCCTCTCCCTCTCCCTCTCTCTCTCTCTCTCTCTCTTTCTTTCTTTCTTTCTTTGCCTTTTTGAGACAGGGTCTCACTACGCAGTTCACGCTGGCCTTAACTCACTTTGTAGCCCAGGCTGGTCTCAAACTCACAGTGATCCTCCTGTCTCAGCCTCCTGAGTACTGGGATTACAAGCATGTATCACCACGCCTGGTTCCTTTCTTTATAGATATTTTTTTCTTTCCTCCTTATTTTTCACTGGTTCATACAGGTCCGGGGAATTTTTTCTCTTTCCTACTTTTTTTTTAACTCCCTTCCTTATCTGTAAATCTTTTTAATCTATTCTCCATGTTCTTTCTTTGTCTTCTTTTCACTTTTTTCTGTTATCTTCTATTTTGCCTTTAGAAAATCAGATAAATTTTCTACACTTTGTCTAATTCTACAAATACCCTTTTACTCAATAGGATCCTTTGCCTCATTTCGCTATTCAGCTTTTCATAGCCTATTGTTTAATTTTTCAAAATATTCCTCTAATATTCTCCTGTTCCCAACTCTTTATATCTTTAATAATATAACCATTAAGCTTTATTAATCTTCAAATAGTTAACTCTATGTTATTATTATTTAATTCTTTTCCATCATTAGTGGAGGTACAGTTATTGCTTTTAGTACTTAAGAAAGTCCGCCAAAAAAAATGTATGCACACTTCAGGAAAAGAAATATAGTATGATGTTTTTTCAACAGATATTACCCTCATATGGGAAACCCTAGAGGATATCCTATGTTGTAGAAAACCCACTACACTTCTGGCCCTTAGAAAGAAATTGAAAATGCAGGTGCAGCAATCTCAGTGACCAAGAGCAGAAACTTGCCCTACTCATAAATGTCTGGATGCCAATAGCCAACACTTTGAGCACCTCTTGTAATTGCAGAGATCAAAAGTAACTTGTACTAATCTCATGATGGTTCAATAAATTTAGTATTAAAATACTTACAAGGACCGGAGACATAGCTCAGCAGCACAGCGCCTGCCTAGGAAGCACAAGGTCCTGAGTTCAATTCCCAGTACCAAAAAAAAAATACTTGAAGAAATTTTTCTTTTCCTGAAGTATGTGTACTTTTTTGGTGGTCTATATAGATGTTATATGTTAATATCTGGGTTATCTTAGTGTTTTCACTATAATTGTGGCTTTCTTTTCTATGGTTAAGGGTGGTACATTATTGGTTCTTATAGTATGTGAATATACAGTTTGCCTTTGACAGTATTACTTTTGCTGATTGAGGGTTGCTATTAATAGGTTTTCTTTGTATGCCAACCAACGGATTACCTTTGTTACATTAACAATACTGTGATCCATTCCCAGATAACTGGGTGTTGGTCCAATTGTACTGCACCCTCCCCTCCCAAATTAACAGAGGTGCTGCGTCTTAGGACAAAGGCAAGACCATAATTAGCCATGCCCAGAGTATATTACTGAAAAAGCATATTAACTAAAGAAAACTCCATTCTACCAACAAATACTTTCCACAAACACAAGTACAAAACAAAACAAAGTAACAACAGAAATAAGAGAAGACAAGGCAACAAAATGTCTCCCAAAACTCCCAACTCACCCAAGGCAGATTCTGGGGAGATGAAGGGGTAGGAATGCAAAAGTCACACAAGCAAATTATGCAAAAGGATAGCACAGATTAAAAAACTGATCAGTGAGTGAGGTGCTTCATGGGATCACAGAAGATATAACTAAACAGATAATGGAAGTGTTAAACAAAATGATCAAGGAGCTTACAGAAAACACTAACAGAAAGCTTGCTGAACTAAACTAAACAATACAATACATAAATGACCAGATTAGCAAAGAATCAGAGTCCATGAAAAGGTTCCAAACAAATCCCAGAGATTAAAAGTTGCATTAAAAGTACAGGCAGCAGATGGGATGAATGTGATGATACGCTACCAGAGTTAGAAGACAGAGGTACTTTCAAAGACCAATTACTCAAAGCTATCTTAAAAACAAGAGAACATGAAAAATGTATCCAACCGCTGAAAGATGATGCAAAGAAGATTAAGATTAATTACAATAAATAAAAAATCAGAAAACAGCAAAAGGGTGTAAAAAAAAAAAACCTATTTACAGAAATAATAGAAAACTTTCCAAATACCAAGAAAGAATTAAACATACAGATAGGTGAAGCATATGAGATCCCAAGTAGCCATAATCAAAAGAGACCCTCTTCACATCATACTATAGTCAAAATAAAACCAGAAGTCTCACAGGGATGGAATCTTAAAATCTGTTTGAGAAAAGCAACAAATTATGAAAGTAAACCCATCAGAATTACAACAGATTTTTCATCACAAATTTTGAAGGACAGGAGAGCTTGGAGTAAAGTGTTTTAATCCCTAAAAGATAACAACTTCCAACCCAGATGTATAGGTCCTACAAAACTTTCTTTCACAATTAATGTAGAAATAAGGTATTTCTACAACAAAGAGAACCTCAAGAAAACATGACCACCAAACCAGCGCTCCAAAAAAACTTCTCAGTGATAGCCTGGAAAGAGACAACGAAACTAACAATGCAAAAAAACAAACAAACAAAAAAAGAAACAACAAAGCTAGTGGAATGAATACAACAGGCAGTGAGCAGCTAAGCACAAAAGAGAAAAAACACAAAGGAAATCAGCAACAGAAAAATAAAACAAAACAACGATAGGATAAGTTAACAGCTTTCAGTAATAACAACGTGTATGATCTCAATTCCCCAGTCAAAAGACAGACTGGCAGAATAGAAACCTAACAATGCAGTATACAAAAAAACACATCTAATTCAAAAAGAAATTCACAGATTAAACACCAAACGATGTAAAACAATTTTCTGTGCAATAGGAACCAAGAAAAAGAAAGAGAAGTAGCTATCCTAATTTCAGACAATGTGGCGTTTCAAGCCAAAAATGATCAGAAGAGGCAAAGAAGGTTACTACATATTGTTAAGGGAAAAATTCAACAGGAAAAAATAGCACTTGTAAACATATATGCACAAACATAGGCACGGTCAACTTCATAAAACAAACACTATAGGACATAAAAAAATCACATAAATATCAACACAATTATAATGGTGGACCTCAACACCCCACGGTCACAAATAGAAAAAGTACACAAAAAAAAAATTCAACAAAGCAGTATCAGACTTGAACCAAATTTTTGAACAAAGGTACCTGATCAGTATCTGTAGAGTTCCAACCAACAACCACAGAATACACATTCTTCTCAGCAGCACGTGGGACTTTCTCCAAATAGACCACACACTAGACCATAAAGCAAGTTAAGTAAACGTAAAAGCATCAAAATTATACCAACCATATTATCAGGCCATAATGCAGTGAAACTAGAAATCAATGACAACAGAAACCTCAGACATTATACAAAAAGCATGGAAACTAAACAATACTCTCTTAAATAATCAATGAGTCTTGGAAGGAATTACACAGTCCCTAGAATCAAATGATTATGCCAGTACAACATACTGGAACCTTTGGGGACAAAATGAAAGCAGCCCTAAGAATGAAAGAGGAAAGTTTATAGCTGGGAATGCCCACACCAGAAGAACATGGAGTTTTTGGGCATACCACCCTGAATGCATCTGATTGCATCAGTAAAACAGAGGGAGTCCAAATAAATAGCCTAATAATACATCTCAAGATCCTAGAAAAAACAAAAACAATCCAAATCCAAATCCAAAGATAGTACAAAGAAGGAAAATATAAAGAACGGGTCAGAAAGTAATAAAATTAGAAAAAAAAAAATCAATGAATCAAACAGTTGGTTCTTTGAAAGAATAAACAAAATAGACAAACCCCTAGCCCATCTTACCAAAAAAAGGAAAGACACAAATCAATGCAATTAGAAATGAAAAAGGCAAGACTGGCATAGGGGCACATGCCTGTAATCTCAAAACTTGGGAGACTGAGGCAGGAGAATCCTATGAGTTCAAGGCCAGCCTGGACTACAAAGTGAGTTCAAGGCTAGCCTGAATTGTATAATGGCATCCTGTCTTAAAAAGTCAAGAAAAAAAGAAGAAGAAAAAGAAAAGAAATGAAAAGGTGAAATCAAACCAGACTTTGCCAAAATCCAGAAGTTCATTAGTAACTACTATACTTTGAAAACCTGTACTCCAATATAAATGGAGAATTCAGAAGAAATGGATAGATTCCTATATATATGAATTACCAAAACTGAACCAACAATATATAAAAATCCTGAATATGCCAGGCATAGTAGTGCATTCCTGTAATCCCAGCACTCAGGAGGCTGAGGCAGGAGGATTGCTGTGAGTTCAAGGCCAGCCTGGAGTATATAGTGAGTTCAAGGCTAGCCTGAACTACACAGTGAGACCCTGTCTCAACAAAAATACAAAACAAAACAAAAAATCCTGAATACTCCAATATCGGCCAATGAAACTGAAGGGGAAAAAATTACCAACTAAAAAAAGCCCAGGTTCCAATAGGTTCACTACCAAATTCTGCAAGCTCTTTAGAGAAGATCTAACGCCAATACTCCTCAAACTCATTAGTGAAACTAAAAGGGAAGGAGTGGCAGTCAGGAGGCTGAGGCAGGAGGACCTCCTGGAGTTTGAGGCCAGCCTGGACTACACAGTGAGTAGACGAGCATGAACTACATAGCAAGACTACCCCTGCCAAAAAAAAAAAAAAAAAAAAGGGAAAGAGTACTCCAAAGTCATTCTTAGAGATAGCTATCCTGATTTCAAAACTAGACAAGGAACAAACCAAAAAAGAGAACTACAGGCTAATTCCTTTGATGAACATAGATGCAAAAACCTTTAACAAGTTACCGGCAAACAGAATGCAACAAATCAACAAGATCATACATCATGACCAGGTAGGACTCATCCCAGGGTGCACAGATGGTTTAACATACACAAATCAATAAATGTAATACACAAGACAAAGACAAAAACTACATAATGATCTCAATAGACACAGAAAAGACCTTTAGCAAAATGAATACCCATTCATGGTGAAAACCCTGAAGAAAATAAGTATATACATAAAAAAAGAAAATAGGTATAGAAGGACCTTATCTCAATATAAGAGCCACTTAAGACAAACCAACAGCCAACATCACATTAAATGGAGAAGCTGAAAGCTATCTCTTTAAAATCAGGAAAAAAACAGGGATGTTCACTGTCACCACTACACAAAGTTCTTTTTTACTTGTATTTTTTTTTTTTTAAGTGAGGAAAGGTGTATTTAGCTCATAATTTGTCAAGGCTTCAGTCCATAACTGGCTGGCTCTAAGGCAGGGTGGCACACGGTAGAGGGGCAACAGTTCATGCTGGTGGAAAACAGCGAAAGCAATGAGAGAGAGAGAAACAGAGAGACACACAGACAGATAGCATTTTATTTTATTTTATTTTATTTTATCTTTTTAAGACAAGCTTTCACTATGCAGTTCAGGCTGGCCTTGAACTCATTTTGTAGTCCAGGCTGGCCCTGAACTCATTTTGTAGTCCAGGCTGGCCTTGAACTAGCAGCAATCCTCCTGTGCAAGGAGCCTCCCCAGTGCAAGGATTATAGACCTGCACCACCACGCCAGGGCTTCTACACATAGTTCTTGATGCATTAGTCATAGAAAACAAAGGAAAAAAGAGATATACAGAAAAGGAAAAAGTCAAATTATCATTATTTGCACATGACTTGATTGTCTACATAAAAGCCCCCCTCAAAAAAATTCCACCAAAAGACTCCTAGAGTAAGCATGGTGAGCACAACTATAATCTCAGCACTCAGGAAACTGAGGCAGGAGAATTGCTTTGAGTTCAAAGCCAGCCTGGGCTACATCGAGGCCTTGCCTCAAAAAAAAAAAGGAAAAAAGAAACAAACAACAAAAAAAACAAAAAAATACAAAACAACCAAATCAAAAGACTCCTAGAATTAATAATCAATTTCAGTAATGTAGCAGAATACAGTCAACACTCAAAAATCAATAGCATTCCCGTACACCCATAATAAATTCACCAAGAAAGAAATAATACCTTTCATAATAGTATCAATAAAAATTAAATACTGGGGGCTGGGGATTTACTCAGTGGCACAGTGCCTGCCTGGCAAGTGCAAGGTCATGAGTTCGATTCCTGGTACCGGAAAAAAAAAAAATTAAATACTTAGGAATGAACCTAACCAAGGAAGTGAAAGACTCAAAAATTGAGATCGAAAAAGACATCAAAAAATGGAAAGATAGCCCATGTTCCTGGATAGGCAGAACTAACACAGTCAAAATGATCATACTTTCAAAAATGATACACAGATTTAATGCAATCCCAATCAAAATACTAATAGAACTAGACTAATAGAACTAAAATACAGTACTACAAAAAACAACCCTAATATTCATATGAAATCAGAAGACACCAAGAATAGTGAAAGCAATCCTGGTCAATAAGAGCAAGGCAGGAGACATCATAGTCCCAGACTTTGAGTTATACTACAGATATTCCTCATTTAATGAGCTTTCTGTTCAATGACCGTTCACACTTACAACACATCTTTTTCATGTGTATTTCTCTACATCTTGTTTATCGAGCCTCAATGTCTTTTTTGTACAGTATACCTTGTTTATGTAGTACTGTAACTTTTGCTGATTATACTGTAGTTTCACATCCTTCATACATTATGGACTGCAGTAAGAGTTAGGCAAATAAAAGCAAAGTCATCATGTTGGAGTTTTTTTGACCATTTCTCTGTTCTGAATACATATTGTAATGTACATACTATAAGCAATTCCTCATTTAGCGACCAATTCAGTTAACAATCTAGGAGCAGGAATGGAACTTGGTAGTTAAACAAGTGGATCAATGGATCAAAATAGAGGATGCAGAACCAACTCCAGGTATATTCAGCTACCTGATTTTTGACAAAGGGACCAAACATTTACACTGGAGGAAAGATAGCTTCTCCAACAAATGGTGCTGGGAAAACTGGCTGTCCTCACAAAGATTCAACCTAGACATATATCTGTTACCATGTATTATGTAAACTAAAATCAACATTGATCAAAGATCTAAATATTAAAACAGCATCACTAACCCTACTGAAAGATAAAATAGATAAAAGTCTTGAAGGCAAGACAAGGCAAGGGCACAGGTATAGGTAAGGACTTTCGGAATAGAAGAATCACAATTGTACAACATACGAAGAATCAACAAATGGAATCATATCAAATTTTAAAAACTTCTTCACAGCAAAAGAAACAACCAACAGAGTGTAGAGACAACCTACAGAATGGGAAAAAAAATTTGCCAGCTACTCCTCAGGACAGGAGACTAATATGTAGAATAAATACAGAACTCAAAAAAATTAGATCCCCTTAAAACAAAATACCCAATTTAAAAAATGGGCAACTGAAATGAATACCTCCTCAGAAGTACTACAAATGGTCAAAAAGTACATGAAGAAATATTCAACATCACCAGTTATTAGAGAAATGCAAATTAAAACAACACTGAGATTCTATCTTACTCCAGAAAAAATGGGTATCATTAAGAAATCAAATACTATAATAATACTGGTGAGGCTGTGTGGAAAATGGAACACTTCTACACTCCTGGTGGGAATGTAAACTAGCACAACCACTATGGGAATTGTAAGACTGCTCAAAAGCTAAAACTAGAAGCTCTATTTGACCAGCACAATTCACAACAGCTAAATTTGGGAAGCAGCCATATGTGCATCAACAGAAAACTGGATAAAGGAAATGTGGCATTTATATACAATGGAACACTACTCTGCCATAAAGAAGGATAAATTTGAGTCATTTGTAGGAAAATGGATGTACCTTGAGGCCATAATGTCAAGTAACTCAAACACACAAGCTTAAATATTCCATGGTTTCTCTTATATGAGAAGACCAAATTAAATAAAGAGCAAAATAAAATATAAATAGGAAGAAAAAAGAGTATTTCCTAGAAGAGTTCTTGGTTTATTAATCAAAATACTGATTCCACTTCTGCATTTTGTGATGTTTGTAATATTTGATGGCTATTTAAAAAGTGTGTAAGCTTTAGACTTCACCAACCAGGTTCTCTCTCTGTTCATGCTACTACCATTTTGGATTTTTGTCAAATAAATAAAATTTTGGGTGTGAAAAAAAAATGGGTTTACTATTGCCTATGAAAGGGGCAAGTACAGATAATTTCTTAGGGCTCTGTCTGTAAATTATCAAATCATAAATGACAATGAAAACTGTCTATGCTCTCAAAACTTTATAAATCAAGTCTTTTTAGATAAAATAGTACACCCAAGGTTATTAGCCCACGTCTTAGAAGGAAATAACTCAGCTACGCATGGTTGTTCAAACCCCTATCTCAGCACTATGGGAGGCTGCAGCAGGAGGATCACAAGTTTTGACCCAACCTGGGCAAATTAGCAAGAACTTATCTCAAAATAAATTATACCAAATATATTATTACTATAATAATCTTTACCTCTTTCTGTTGCAATTGATTTCGGTAACTTGCAGACTGCTGCTTTATTTGAAGCTCTGCTGCTTCATGCTTCTCTTCCAGATCACTACAAAGTTTTTTAAGTCTTTCATTCTAGAAGAAAAGAAAAAAGTACTTTCAACAAAAAGACTGTGTTGTGGTCAGGGTTTACAAGGGAAAAGATTTAATCCAGGACGCATTATTTATAGGATTATTTTATAATATTCACCCAAGGAGACAAATGCAAAAGAGTGCAGGAGATCTGTTCACACACTAGAGACCCAAAGAATCCAGCTGAGGGTCTGGATCCCATGGCAATGCCCTGCATGAGCCCAGCTGAAGACCTAGAGCCCATGACAATGTCTCATGCAAGTCTGTATCAAGCATCTGCACTGGGAAGGCCCAAAGGTCAGTGGTGGAAGCTAAAAAGTCTGCATCAGGGGATGAAGGATCTGTGCCAGCAGGCTGAGGGATCTGCACTGGAGCCAGGAAGCGACACTCAAAGTAAGAACCAGAGCTCCTCCGAAAGGAACTGCAGCCATCCTCAGCAACAGCGAGGTCCCAAGCTCCTCTGATGATGATAACAGCCAAGTTCATGTCAGGAAAACCAGTGTGACAAGCTCCTCCAGGAGGATCCACAGCACACCATCTTCCCCTGCAGCTCTCCTTTCATGCTGGTGGCAACAATCCTCAGGTGGGCCTTCCACACCCAGCACCACACAGATTCAGTTCAGCTGGGTGTTACAAGTTGACCATCAGTTAATCCACCACAGATTGCAAGTAAAACTTGTTAGCAATGGTTATGTGCATGTCATAACTTACACGTAAAAACATACTTTTTCATACAAGTACAAAAATTAAAAGTCTCAGACAGAATTCTGGCCTTTAAAATATATTTTCAAGATATAAAGTTACAAAAGTATAAACATATTTATATAGATTCTAAACCAAAGGGGAAAAAAATTCTAAATTTTAGTTTAGAATTTCTAATTCTAAACCAAAGGGGAAAAAAAAAACATTTTGCCACTTTGAATTTCTGCTAAGAAGCTCCTGCTTAATGATTCCCCTATCTCTGTACACCCAGTGTCTAGCACCTAGTAGGCAGTACATGTCTAGAAAATGAATGAACAAGGGCTGGGGATATAGCTCAGTGGTACAAACGCCTGCCTGGCAAATGCAAGGTTCTGAGTTCCATTCCCGGTACCCCCACCAAAAATGAATGAAAATGAATGAAGAAAGCATACACAGAAGTCTTCAAAAATCTAACCAAGATTTCTGGACAGATGTGATACATATCCACAACACTAACTACTCAAGCACTTGAGGCGGGAAGATCTCAAATTCAAGGTCAGCTTGAACAACTTAGCAAGATCCTTTTTCAAAATAAAATTTAAAAGGAGGCTGGGATGTAGCCCAATATTCCCTGAATTCAATTTCCAGTTCAATACAAACCAGGAAAAAAATTTTTGTTTGGAGTACAACTAAAGACTCAGGTTATTTGTTACTCCTGATGGTCTCCAGTTCTAGTCAAGGCTCCTTCCAAAAGTCTGCCTACATTTCCATTCTTGAAAGTCTATGAGATAATTAAAACTCAAAACATCTAATTCTGCTTATCCCTTGGTATACTATCAGGGTCCAGTGAACCAGTTTTAGTTTCTTTGTTAAACTATCAGGGTCCAGTGAACCAGTTTTAGTTTCTTTGTTAAACAGTCCTAACTATTTACAAGGATAGAATTTTATGGCTCTTCTTTCTTTCTTCAAGGTCTTCCACAGAGAAAGTTTGACTATTCTTTTTAATAGAACAAAACTCATTCTCAAACCAGGCATGGTGGTACACACCTTAATCCCAGCATTTGGCAGGAGTATTTCACCGAGATAAAGGCCACCCTGGGCCACAAAGTAAGTTCAAGGCCACCCTACACTACAAAGCAAGACCCTGTCTCAAAACAAACAAACAAACAAACAAACTTCATATGCTCTTCCAATTATCATAAGGGGATACTGGATCCTTTGATAAAACTGCAAATAATTATGGGGCTATAATGATCTCTTCTTTTGTATTTTAAAAGATTTTACTGCTTTATCCTGAGAATTATTTTATCAGTATTCATCAACTACCCCCAGCTATGCTAAAAGACTACACTAATAAGGAAACAGAGGACTTAACAGAATCACTGACAAGATGCAATAGTGAGATAACTACTTTTCTGGCCAATGTACATACTGCATCATCTTTTGAAAAGGCCACGTAAGTCTGGAGCCAAAGTATTTATTATAGTCCTCTTCTTCATTGCTTTTACCGAACACAGCTGGAAATTAACAATTCTTCATTTCCAACATTTCATAACTACCTGTAATCCCACCTACTCAGGAGGCTGAGGCAAAAGTTCAAGCCCAGCCTGGGTGACTCAGGGAGCATCTGTCTCAGGAAAAAAAAAAAGGCTGAGTAAGTAGCTTAGTGGTAGAGGATTTGCACAGCATGTGAGAAGCCCTCGGTTCAACCCCAACCATCACCAGCCAAAACAAACACACAAACAACAACTTAGAAGGTAAGTGCAAAGCAAAGGGACAGAAAGCAGTACGCTATCATTCAACAGTTATGGTGAAAGTGTAGGGGTAAATCTCTAAGAGTCTTCAGATGACACTATCTTAGATTACTTTTCTCAAACTTACGAACTGATGAATAAACAATGTAGTTCCGAGAACATAAAGGAAATGTGATTTTCACATCAATTAGTCATTCATTCAACATGAAAATATTTTATTCTGCAAAATTTTGACAAGTCCCTGACCATCCTATTTTGCTAAGTGAGTATGTCACAGTTCTTTCCTTATATGGCACTTGTAAGCCAACATTTACTTGATATGATTCAAGGTATATCTACACACAAAGGTGACTGGAAGGCAACAGATGACATAGAAATGAAGAAAGTTTAATGGAATCATCATTCTAACTGGTATGTATAAACCTAAGAAAAATGCTTTGTAACTATGGAGCAAAGCTGATAGCCATTTTCTCAAACAAAATCATTAGTGGTCAAAGTTCTCAAAGGGATCAGTTTAAAAAAAAAGCAAATCAAGAAAAACCAGAAGTAGTAATAACCAAAAATCTGTTAGAGAAGTAACTAAAATCTGGAATCAGTATTTACAAGACAGATATATTCCCATTTATGTGTAAGAATTATGATATACAGTATGTTTGTTTTGAGAGGGGGGGTCTCACTATATTGCCTAGTCTGGCTTAGAACTCTTGGGCTCACACAATCCTCCTGCCTCGGGCTCCTGAATAGCTGGGACTATATGCATTCACCACTATATTCAGCTGTACATATGCTTTCAAATCAGAAAAATATGGAATAAAATATGGATTTCCTATATTTAAATTATTAAAAAATTTAACAAAAATTTTCACCATCACTTTATTCATACGTATAATATGTAAAATGACAGTATAAAAAATTAAAAGGAGGCCACTGGATCAAGATGGTAAATGTGATGACTACTTTTTGCAATACAGAGAACAAAGTTAGGTGGGTTGCTCATACCTGCTTCTAAAGAATTCTAACTAATTTAGTCAGCTACACATATTAACATCTGTAGGCAAATCTAATTTCCTCTGGAAAAACGCACTGCCCTTCTAATACTAAAACTTTCTAAATAAAATACACAGCTATATTATCGCCTCATTCTCTTACAGCAGGGAGTCTTGAGCAGGGATCTACTGTGCAGTCACATAAAGGGTTAGGTGCAGTGACAGAGAACCTTTCAGAGGTTTCAAGGATAACAAACAGCTGGCTGTGGCACCGGAGCCATAAGTTCGCCATCACTCGTTAATGCATGAAGTCTAACATGAGGTGAGAATCACCCATGGTTAAAATTACCTTAGGAAACAAAATCTTTAGCCTGGCATGCTGTGCACACCTGTAGTCCCAGCACTTGGGAGGCTGAGGCCGGAGGATCGCTGTGAGTTCAAGGCTAGCCTAGACTCTATAACGAGACCCTGTCTCAAAAAAAGAAAAGGCCAGGTATGGTAGTGCACATCTGTAATCGCAACACTACAGGCTGAGGCAGGAGGACCACTGGGAGTTAGAGGCCAGCCTGAGCTACAAAGTAAGCTCAAGGCCAGCCTGACTGCATAGTGAAACCCTGTCTCAAAGAGATTAAAAACAAAACAAAACAAAACAAAAAAACCCTTATTTTCCTCCAGTATTTGAGTAGCTCAAAGTACTTTGGAAAAGCACATGAGGAAGTTGGCTTGCCTTTGGGGATGTGTTTCACCAGAAATAATTATTTCTAAATACTAGAATCATACTTGCCATAGTCCAGTGATAACATTGTAAGAGGTGTTTAAAAAAATTGAGATCCAATTAGAAAACTGCAATTTGGTTCCACCACATCCTGACTACTACAGTATAGTTTTCTCTATTCTTTCATTTACCCCTTCCCCATTCCTTTATTGTACATAAAGTATCTGGTGTATGTGC